CCCCCCCAAAAAACATCCCCAAACCTCTTGGAGGAATTTTATTTTACTGCTGTGCCTTGGTAAGCTGCAAGGCTTGCATAGCTGTGGTGTGTTGCTGTTTGGATGCATCAGCCTAGTTTGGAGAACCTCAGAGAGCAAATCACCGGGCTGTTTTGGATTGGTCTTTAGAAAAGTGAGTGACTGAGCATGCTCAGTAGTGAATGGAGCTGTTAAACTGCTTTTACATGACTTACCCCTGTGCAAAGACAAATATATGATGGGTTGAAGCCTCATCTAGGTTTCCACATGTACCACTGTGCCATCTTTCTGAGATGCTATTCATCAGCTTTTCATCAGGTTTAGCTGATCTCAGGTTGTTCTCCTGCCAGAAATTCTTTCCCTTTATTTTCTTATTTCTGAGATGGCTTCCAGTTGAATCAAGCAAATGATGGTTGCTACCTCTAGGGTAGAGATGGCTGGGATGTGTAGAAGTGAGGGGAGGGAAAAGGCAGGAGTGCCTGTTGTGGCAGCAGAGGGTAATTCTGGATCTGTTGATCTGATGAGTATATGGGAGTGGGCATGGCTTGCTGAAGAGCAGCTGTGTAGCTCCTGGTAGAACAAGTCCTGCTTCTACTCCAGTTTCCTTTCATGCAAAAGGGTGGATTGCCAAGTGCTTTAATATTTCTGGGAGGTTACAGTGTTGGAAGAGTCCTTTGTGGGGCACTGCTGACTGATGGCTTTGTGTACATGCTGCCAGAATTTGGCTTCCCGCTTAACCCAGAGGAGGTTTCCCTCTGGGAGGACTTTGAGCACAGCTTTTAAATAAAGCTTCCTGCTGAATGCATCAAGGAGAAGATTAGATTGAATATAAGGGAGAAGTTTTCTGTGATGAGGCTGGTGAGGCACTGGAACAGGTTGCCCCCAGAAGTTGTGGATGCCCTGTCTTTGTAGTCACCCAGTATCACTCAACCCTCTGCTGCCTTGCTTCGTAACCTTTTTATATATAAACTCTGGTGAATCTATGTTTGCTGCATTAGATGAAACAAAAGTTTATCGTGTTTCTGCAGTGCTACTTCAGTCTGCAACAAGCAAGGAGTCGTCTTGGCCAAGGACACAGAAGGTCTACTGGGGTGGTGGCACTGAGAAATACATATTTTGAAGGGCAAGCTGGAGCTGCAGGAAAGTGGCAGGAGCTTAGCTATCGTGTGTCATCCATGCTCTGCATTGCCTACAGCCTGGTGGTGTCCTGGGGAGGAGCAGCCCTAGGATGAATGACTCTGCTGGGCACTGTGAGAAGGAAGTTTGGGAACCAAGGGGGAGGCTGAGCAGTCAGATTCCCTGGAACTCCACTGTGTTTCCAGTATATTTGTCTGTTGTGGGACAACATGCTTTGTCTGAGAGCTGCAGTTGCTTTGGGAGGGCAAGCCAGGCCACCTTCACATGGCTTTGATTAAATCCAGCAGCACTTAAGAAAGCTTCAGGCATCTCTTTTTGCCTTGCTTGGCAGTACTGGGAAGTGAGGACTTAGAACTTTGCCAGTGATATTTCTACAGCGTTGTATAAGAGTAGGAGTTGCGTTGAGAAAGTTGTTAAATGGAAAAGGATGTGGAGGAGGAAGGGAGAAAAGGTTGTCTGTATGGCTGCCATGTTGATACTCCCCATGTGCTGAGCCCTGGTGCAGGCATGGGTCAATACAAGTGCAGATGAAGTCCTACAGAGGTAAAGCAGCCCCCCTTCAGATTTAAGCCATGTGAAGTTAAGGTATGAATTTCCTTGCTTTCTATACCTTTAAACATAAGCTACCACTGAAGATTATAGGCCAGGCTGGATTTGTCCTGTTATTTCTGTCCTTGTAGAGCTGGTGAACAGTGTTCATTTACTGGCTTCAAAAGAACAACAGAAGACCCTCCTGGAGGTACATAACAGGAGCAAGTAACTCCTGTGTTTTGGTTAATGTAGAGCGAGAGGATGATGGAAAATTTGTGATTGAGGCTGGAGTCCAAGGTCTGTGCTGTGGTCTTGTGGACTTCAGCATTTTTGTCGTACTTAGAAATGCCTTCAGCCCTTCCATAATGTGAAAGGGGGAAATGAGTGAGAGGGAGCCACAAATGGATTAGACTTTTCTCAGTTCTTTAAATACCAGCTGGCAATGACAGTTCTCTGAATCACCTGCAGACACTGGGGAAGCAAGCAAGTCTCTCTTTCTCAGTCCAAGGTAAACCGATGTGCTAGATGAGTAAGTTTTCTCACAGTACATAATGAGGTCCAGTTGGCAGGAAGCACAAGAGACATTGTCAGGCTGATTTTGTACCTTCCTCTTGCTGGTTTGGTGTTTTGTCTCACTATTTCCTTACCTCCCTCAGCTTCCAGATCCTCTCTCTGTTGCAGTGTGTCTGAGGTTGGTCCCTCATCCACCATGTTCCTTGCTATCCCTGAACAATTGCATGAACAGGATGGGAAGAGTAAAATTATATTAGATGTGGTGACCTTTGCTTCAGTAGTATTATCAGAAAAACTTCTCCTTGTGGCTGCTTAGAATTGTTTTCAGTAAAACACTTCTGCTATCTTTTCTTTGGCATGCAGCAGGCACTTCAAATGCCTGAAGTGAGGTGTTTTTGTAGCCTGCAGAGGTGACTTTTGTCACAGCTCTTGCTCAGTGCTGGTTAAATGTCTTCTGTGTGACTAAGGTACAAAAGCTTTATACAGCCATCAGTGGAAAATATAAAGCCTTTTTTGTTATAATGATGAATCAATAATGATGATGAAAAAATGGAAGCAGCCTGGCTCTGACATCATGTGGGATTTTCCTTCTCTGCAAACTAGAAGAAATTGCACAGGTGCTGTGAAGCAGATCTTCAGCAGCATCTTAGGGAGCACAGTAGGGGCATTGTAGGTGATCCCTTCCATCCCATTCACCAGCCTCTTTTCTGCCCCTGCATGTAGATGTTATCTTCATTGCACTGGCTGTTGAGGAGGCTTTACTGGATGAACAGCCTTGGTTTGGGACTCATCATCTTGTCTTTTACTTTGGCTTCCTTCTGTGATTTTGGAGAAGTCCCCTGACAGGCTCGTGCCACGTATCTCTGCTGTGATGCCAGGGCTAGCAGGAATGTGTTCAGGGCAGGGGTCTAACACCCTCCTGATTCTCGCGAGATTGCTTTGGCATCCTTCCTTTTCACCAGCCAGCTCATTAATGCCACTAATTACTATTCTCTCTAATGCTTACAGGATTTGCCAGTTCCTGTATGCCCATGGGAATCGTGTTCTGGCTCCTTGACAGTGCTATAGGAGAAGCTGATGTTCTGAACAGGTATGTTTGTCACATTCATGGTGAGGGGAAGAGGGGCTGCATGTGGCCAGGGTGAAATGTGTGCAGAGTTTGCCTGATAGGTGTGGAATGGATCCTGTGGTGCAGACTGCTCTGCAGTGAGTAGTTATTTTTTCCATCCGGAGGTTTTGTGAAAACACCCAGGCAGAAGATAAGGTTTGCATCTAGCCTTGCTGACAACCCTCTGAAGAGAGGGCTGGAAAACAGCATTGCTGCAGAGCGGCCCCTGGGAGGCCATGCTCCTTGCTAACACAGGCACTGCCTTTTCCTTCCCGGAGCACCAGCTGGGGAATCCCGGGCGCGCTGGCGGCTGCGCAGGCGGCTGCTGCGCCCTCCTGCTCAGCTGGCCTTTGGCAGCTCCCCCGTGGCGCGCGTCCCGAGCGGGGTGGGAGGGAGCTGTGTACTTGTTGGTATCCAACCATGAACAAATCTGCTGTTGTTTTCTTAATGTATGGCAAGAACAGCCTGTAGCAGCTTATTCCTCCCTGGATAATTACTGCTCTGCTCTGCCACTGATTGCTGTCAGGAGCAGTGGAGTAGTGCCTCCCCTGCGCTCCCTGTGCATCCTTTTGCCTGAGTTATTTGGTTTGTTATTGCTTTAAGGCATCAGTACTCAAATGAAAAATCTAATCCGTGCTCTTTGCAGCTGTTTGACATTCTAAGTGCATTGCCTAAGTCAGTTGAAGTCCCTGAGATGCCAAACATGCTTTCAGTGATACCTCTTGCTATGCTACGAGCAGGTCTGCTTGCATCTCGATTTCAATTTCTGGATTATTTTGAGAAGGGGAAATTATAGGGCTGGGTTGCAGTCTACTGTTGTATTATCTGGAATTGTGTTCAGAGCTGATCAGAGGTGTGTGTGCAAGTGGAACTGGAGTGGAATATTTTGCCATCTGTGGTTGCTCGGGGGAGGTCTGAAAAGCAGGTGCATGATCCTGCTGTGGGAGTGTTTAATGGACATGGAGGGTTGGCCTGGCACACTGAACTCAAACCTTCAGCTTGCCCTAGGAGCAAAAGGAGCTCCTTCTGCATCTATCCCTCATGGATCTCATAAAAATGGCATTGCCTTGCATTTAGGTTGCCTGAATGGCCCATTTGATTGTATAAGGATATAATCACAACTTGCTGCATAGAGCTTTCTTGATCCCTAAAAAAGTGAAATGGATTCATTATGGAAAGAGATCTTTCTTGAAAACCTGGTTCATCCGGGACTGTGTGGGCAGTGCTGCAGACGTGAAGAGGAGTAGGAGTCAGGGTGGAGCTGTTTCCACCTAATTCTCCTGTATTTCCCGGGGTTTATCACAGCATGCAAGCAAACATGCCTTCCACTTTGGATCTGAAAGCACAACTGGTTAGTTGAGCACTGCCTGTGCTTCCTGTGCCTCCTGTGCCAGTCTTCTCCTTATGCTTTCCTTTTCTTAATTAACTTTCTGCTGTAAAAGGCCTCTTCTTAAAGGGAAAACCACAATAAGAAGGGAACAGCAAACGTAGGAGTGCCTCCATTTGCTAGCAAGCTGTTGCAGGTGTGTCTGAGTCAGGAGAGCCAGCACTGAGTCAGTGTCCCAGACACCCAGTGACTCAGGTGGCAAAATCCCAGGTCATTCTCTTCTCATGCCTGAATTGCAGTGGATTTCCTGTAACAAACTCTCACCTTCTGTAGTGACCAGTCAGGGAATGCCATCCTCTCCCGTAACCCCAAATGGGTTATGACCAGCTTGGTTCACTGGGGATGCAGGCACCTGGTGGTGGTGGCACTTCTCTTCCTGCCACCACAGGTAGAAAGTTGATTTATGTCAACACCCTCAACCTTACCTCAGTCCTTTCCCCAGCTTCCCCCTGCCGCCCTGCCTTGTTTTTTGTTAAGATGGGATAAGTCACAGGAGTTGCAGCTGTCTTATTGAGCTTGAGGAGATTCTTATGCAAATCTGGAGGCTGTGTTCTCCTGGCAGATCTGCTTGCATGCATTATCCGCTACTTCATTGTACTGGAAGGAGGTCTATTTTCTGAAACATGGTTTATTTTTAGTCAAGATTTTCCCTGTCTAACTGGCAAAAGTTCAGCATTTGCAGTGGGATTTGCAGAAGAAGCAATTTTGCCAAACCCTTGGACTGGGGGAAGGGAGAGGAAATGTTATATTAGCTAGCAAAAAAGCTAAATGCTGACTTTAAAAACAGCTTAGGACACTGTTGTGAGAGCATAAGGGTTGGGTAATGCAAGTTGAGAACAGCATCGTGTTGCTGCAGTGGATAACTCAGTCTGGGTTGCTCTTGCTTTTCCTTTTGATGGCTGCCACAGAGGTTAACCAGCAGTGGGTGGGAAGTGCTGCTCAGGGCAGGTGGTCAATGAGCCAACCTTTTGACCTGATCCTGAGCAGTGAATTAGCAAAGTCACCTTAACTGCAATGTCCATGGGGAAAGTTCTGTCCCTGCAGAGCATGGTGCTGTCCTGTTGCAGCCGTGTCTGGGGCTACTGGAGGCTCACTGAGGGTTGAGCTTTCTGATGATATGGAATGTATCATGCCCATGTTTGAGTACCCTTGTCAGTTACCCTGAAATGAATAGGGTGGCACATGGGATGTCCTGGGGCAGTGCTGCAGCTGTCTTCTCCTCCCCTCCCCAGCTGCTGCTCCAGGGACAAACTGTCTTCACGTGCCTCATTGCTTTCACCAACTGCTTCTAGCTACTCTGGGTCTTGTACTGGTTTCTCACATGAGCAGCAACCTTTCAGGGGTGCAGGGGCATTTTCTTCTTGGTCTTGCATTTCCTCAGGCATTTCCACCACTCCTTTTACAGAGCAATCTTTGTTACCATTAGTTGGTAGTGCTGCAAGCACCAGACATTGGAGAATGACACCAGAGAGTCAATGACTGTGTTCAAAGCCTTTGGTACTTACTCCTCTGAAAAAATGAAAGTTGATTCCACATGTGGGCATGTAAATTATTTGTTTCCTTTGCAGGTTAACTCCAGCAGTTTGCTTTATCTTTCTTTTTCTTCCTGCCCCAATTCCCCAAAAGACAATTCCATAGCAACTTTGTCATGGTTCCATTAAGAAAACAAGGAGAAATCCTTCAGTTCCAATTTTTTTCTGAATGTTTGGAAACCAGAAAAAAACCGCAGGAAGTAACACTAGGAATAGTATTTAGATGTATTCTGCATTTGGAACAAGTGGGTATATGTTGCCTGCAGGTAACAGACCTTTGTGAAAGGAAAAAGTAAGTGCCAAAATGACACTCTTCTCTCTATGGGGGACAGAACTTCTGTCTTCCTAAAGCCTGTTGTTATCTTTCTGTTAAAAACCATATGTATTAGCTGGCAAATCAGATTTGTTTTAGCTATTCAATTTTCCCTAGTTCCCTGGGGGCTTCCTAGTTGCAAACCTATTTGCAAATCCCCTGTCCATCTGGGATGCAGATGATCTCATGTGCCCCAGTGTTGATGCAGAAGTAGGCCCTGTGCTTGCCATACACCTGGCGGCCTGTGGATGTAGAGACTTCGTAAGTTTGAAGCTGTTCCTTAGGGAATGTTTGTGGGTGGTTGGGTTTTGTGGTTTTTCCTTACATTGCTAATTATTTCAGGGAAATTCCTATTTTATAAGTGCTTTCTCCCCAAAAGCAATTCTCTTCCTCTCTGTCTCTTGCCCTCAGAGGCTGGAGAACACTGATATGTTAGGAAAGCCAGTCTCTGTTTTAAATGGCCTTAAGCATATCAATATTCAGCTCAATTTCCTCTTACAGTGGCTTGCTACAAAATGAGTAGGAATCTCAGGGCATCCCTGGGTCAGCTTTTTTTTCTGATGCTCAGGAAGGTTTCATTCCAGACGGGTGAGTTTGTGGAGGAGGAGATGTCCACCTTGAGTTCCTACTCTGATAGGAAAATATTTTTTCTATCAGTGAATTTTTGCTGATATTGAACTATGCTTAAAGTATGTGGGCATGTGTTGTAATCTGCTGGCGAAGACACTGAAAATCACCCGGCTGGCCCAAAGGTTCAAGCAAACTGCTAATGTCTGAATCAATACCCTGTCTCCAGTGGTGTAACAGGAGCTGCTCTGGAAGGGCTTGGATAGAGGTTGAGCAGCCTAATTCAGCATTCCATCTGCTCTAGCTTGACCCTGTGCCTTGCAAATGTGCTGGGTTAAAGCAGGCTGAGAGCTGAACTTGGCTGGCAGCCTCCACTGCCAGGTACTGGGGTAGGTGTGGAGCTGCCACGTCTGTGGCTGAGTGCTGGAGCCCATGTGCATGGGAGGGTGCAGCACTGGGAATCCCAGCAGTCTGGGTTACCTGCAGCAAAGAACGGAGCTGACTTCGGATTGCTGTTTTTAAAACCTCTGTTTAGTGCAGCTGAGCAGTTCTGTGGGCATTCCGTAGCTGGTGCTTACCCAGCCCTCCCAGCACAACTGTGCCAGTGTCCTCAGCTTGGTTTCACAAGCAGAGACCTCACGCAGCCCTCATGGAGGGTCAGCATTTGGTGACTACCTGAATCACTGCTTATCCCCAAAGGTGCTTCTGCTCTGCTTTGCTCTGTAATTACTTGCCACGCATTGTGTCCTCCCCAGCAGCTTTCACCACGGTTTTTAAAAGGGAAGATAAGGAACAGTGGACAGATGGACATCTGGGAGGACTGCTGGTAGTGGCAGAGGGAGTGGTTTTAGCCCTGCTACTTGCATGAAGCATACTCTCCAGGCAGATCCCACTGTGATTCTTGATGAAGTTTCCCTTTTCTTGGCTGGCTCATTGGAAAACCCTTTTCACTCCAAGTTTTGTTTGGAAAGAGAGACGCCCACACAGATGGCTGCTCTTCAGTTGTCATTCATGTTGGGATTCTTTATGTTCCTTTTTGCATTACCTTCAGGTGAAATCCAGGCTTGCCAAAAACACATAACCCAGATTTAGAAAAAAACTAAACAGTAAGAATATTCTGCTTCTTCTCTTTAAGCTGAGGATGCAGTGGGCTATCTCATATTTTATCAGTTCACAAGAGATT